TTTTGGTCGCACTCGGCAAAACGACACTGAAAGTGTAGAAAGACTTAATTCACTTTTCTGCTAAGTTTCAAATGTAAACAAATATGGCTGCTATGGTAAAAAAATTAGGCTTAACCGGACTTAAAAAACTTTTAAATTCTTGATAATTCTACAACTATTACATGCAGATTAACTAAGGGTATCAAAATCTTAACCGAAAGATAAGAACAGCAATTTTCAATCACTTTTAAGGCAAAAAATGCACAATTTACCAACATATAAGAATAAAAATACTGAACTCACCGAGTCGAGTAACAGAATATATATTTGGTGAGGCGGGGTTGCAACAAAAAAGGGAGGTGCACAACTAAATGTTATAGTACTTCTATATACGAAATTTCAATATTCTGAGGCTACTCCTTTCTGAGTTAAGCGAAATAAATACTGTTTAGGTTTTCGTATTTATTTAGCTAGTTTTAGTAGAATTTGTAATTAATTTTTTTTGTATTCCCGTGCAATGCAGTACGAGACCTATTTGAAAAGTAAGCTAAAATTACACAGGAAAAATTAAAATACAGGAGCACGCGCGTTTAACAAATAGATATCTCGTAAATGTACGCTTTTCCTGGAAAATTCGAGAAAATACCAGAATTTTCTCCTGCTTGATTTAAAAAGCTTATAAAAGCTGGAGGAAAACTTCTCAATTCAGCTGTTGTTTGGGTAACTGTTGTTGTTTACTGTAGTGAATTCCTGGTGAAATCGGATTAGCTTTCTCTGTTTTGAATTAAGTTCTGAACGTTTTAGTAGTTTAAAATATAACTACTGTTTAAAATATCGAATATCTCTGAGGAAATTTCAACATTTTGTTTTATTTGTTGTGATAAGAATACATTTTACTCACTTTTCATCGGACTTGTGCATTCAATTTATTACGAACCCGTATGCACGCAACAATGCATGCAGGTAATGCACAGAAGACTCGAAGAAATCTCTTCTGAATCCATTTTAAATTAGTTTTACAATTCGTTTGGGGAAAAGGGTCCCTTATTCTGTCCTTACGTACAGATGTCACGCAAATACATTGTTGAATTGCATTCGATAGCTGTCAAAATGGATATTTTCGTTGAAATATGAGACCCGGAATGTTTCGTGTTTACAATACTTCCTTTACTTTGCACAAGGAAATAAAAATGCACACATTACAAAATAGTAAGATAACTATAATAAATATATACTAATCTTTGAAGTATTAAAACTAATTTGAAGTGCATACAATAAGCCAAAAATTATTTAAAGCTCTTTCCTTATTGTATAATTTCTTCCCTGACTATTCAAGAGTAGGAAAGAAAATATTTTAAAGTCAAGTTTTACTGAGGTACTATTGTTTTTGTATCAGGTTACTGGGATACTTTTGCACTGTTTTACTAGAGTAATGAGGAGTCAAGACAAATTTGTCGTAAACACTTTTCATCTGCTTTTAAAGAGCTCATAAGATCACATGTTCTGAAAAAGATATCTAATCATTTTTCCTCTTGCAATTCGTTCAAAAATGGATGCTAAACCATAAGCGAAAACAATGCTGAGCAAAAAGGTTCTTGTCATTATCACGCACTACTTGGTTTTAGCGGTGATTTTAAAAATTCTCGGCTTTATTTTACCGGGTACCATTGTAGCGTACTATGAATATGCTGCTAAGTTGCTTCTATTCTTTATGTTGGCTGCATTCACGTTTGAATTTGCTAAAAGAAGGTATTTACAAGATAAAGTGGAACCCATAAATAAAGCCGTGCTGATAACAGGTAAAGCATATTGTGATACAAAATTTGTTTTCAATTAATTGGAAATATATCTTTTTTCTATTATAGATATTATACTTCAGTTTTAAGTTTAGAATTAAGATTTAGAATTAAGTTTAGAATTTTAGGTTTCTTAAGTTTAGAATTTGCCTGTTTTGATTAGAATTCAAGAAGCGAATAGTGTGAAAAAAATTTCGCAAAAGTAATTTAAAATAAAACACACAAACAACCAACAGAACAGAACAACTGAACACAGCGACACAAACAACAGAAAACAGAATAAAACATTAGTTTTAAATCAAGGAACACATCATTAATCTTAATTAATTTTGCGAAAGTGTATTTTATTAAGATAATTAAGAGTGTATTATCGTACTGTTCATGATATTTTAAATGTATGTTTTATTAGTTTATTGAATTTTAATTTAATAGAATCCATGTAACTTATTGTTCAGAAGCGTGTTTGGAAAATTGTCATTAACTGGGCCGGGAAAAGGAAAAGAAAAGAACGAGGCTTTTATCTCATATGAAGGAGATAAATTTATACCATAAAAATTACGGGGGGGGGAAAGATAAAATCGGAAAGCTTTCAGATTTTATATCACATCCAAGGAGAATTTCTTTTTACCTTTTTGTGTTCCCTTTATATATTAAATATCATGTTTTTCGTATTTAAATCACATAAAATTCAATTCAACAGCAATATTTTCAGCAATATATATTCAACAACATATTTGCATCTAGGCACCCATGTTCGGATAGAGGATTACGTCATTCAAAATTTGATGGCTATAGGTACCGTCGTTTTTTTTGACAATGCGAGAAGCATACATACATACATACATTGAGATTATTCATTATTTAATTTCTTTGAATATAATAAAGGGCAATAATATCTGGTGGCAACAATTTGAAAAGTGAAACCCAATACAGATGAATATCTTTTTATGTGAATGAATGTGATACTTTAATAAACAGCATTATTTGATAAACACATGAAATGCATATTTTAATAAACACATGAATATCTTTTTATGTTATTTAGACACATGCTTGAAAAACTGCTTACTTTAAAAAACAATATTATGTTACGGTTATGCTTACTTTAATAAACAGCATTATTTATGGCATAATCTGATACAGATTTTCACAACTGAATCCACATAATGGAATATCGTATAATGGATAATTCCAAATTATAAATACGTCTTTTAACTATTTTATCTTTGTAAATATGAGGAATTTATATATCTTTTTATCTCTGTACAAAAACTAAAGCCTTCTTTTAACTTTTAAAATAAATAAATAAAAATCTGAAAGCCTTCAGATTTTATATTACGCCCAAACTGCTGTTTTAACGTTTTGTGTGTTACTTTTATTTATTAAATATCATGTTCTTCTCACTTAAACCACAAAACTGAATTCAACAGCAATATCTCAAAATATTAAAAAAGAGCATATCTTTAGGATTTCCTATACACAGTCTCGCGTGCTGGATATATATATATATATATATATATATATATATATTTTGTAAAATGTTCTGATAACTCCAGCTTTGAAATTTTATAGCTTATTAATAAAAAATTCGTTAAAGTTTTACAAAATATGAAATAAACAATAAAATAAATTCCAAATTTGGGCTTCCGGATGCCCATATTCGAGTGGAGGACTACGTTATTCAAAACTTGATGTCTCTAAATACCGTTGGTTTTTCACATTGCAAGAAACATACATACATTCATGCATATTCTACATTATTTAAGTTCTTTAAATATAATACAAGGCAGTAATATTTGGTAGCAACAATTTGAAAACTAAAACGCCGTTTTATTGCGGACGACGGAAAATGCCAAAAAGAAATTAATAGATCTTCTGGGCAAATTGCCCTTTGGGGGAAAAAAAAAAAAAAAAAAAAAAAAAAAAAACTCAGCTGTTTTAAGCACTTACTGCGCATTAAGAAATTATTTAATACATTATTTTGGTAAGTTTTCAAGAGGGATTATGTAAATTTTTTAACTTATATAAAATAGTTATGAAAGCCTTATATTTCATTGTTTCGTCACATCACATTATGGATATCTAAAAAAAGGGTTATTGTATACAAGGAAGATATTTGCAAAATAATAATTCAGGGACAAGCAAGTAATCCTTATTTCGAATAATAGTACACTTGAAATACAATCAAATCCAAAAATAATGCGTGAAAAAACAGCTGCATGCATAGTTAAATATCTAATATTTATCTTCTTTGAAACCCAAGGTTTGGAAATCTGCCTCCATGTCCTTCATTTTTAACCTTTGATTTTGCATACTTAAGAGTGGTTCTGATAATGCGTTTTTGACAATGCCTGTTCTGGTAACGTTCCGATAACGCCCTTTTATCTTTTATTTAACTTGTAGCTCTTGATTTCAGTCCTTTGATTATCGTATGCCTGGAATCTAACGGCTTACCTTAGCTGCCTAGTATCTATCGTCTGCACAATATAAATAATTTACAAGAAGTTAAAGGTTGTGATTGAGCTTAAAATAATGTACAGTGCGAGAAAAAAAAGGGGGAGGGAGTTCAGGTCTGTAATAAATTTTTTCCATTTTTCGATTCTACGACTCAAATTATGCTTGGATATTAAGTTTTGTAATTTTTGATGAGAAATTTATGGAGAAATTAAAAAATTTTTCTTGGAGGAATTTTTTCAGTTGTGAATAATTCACTTGGCGGAATTCTTAATTTATAGTAACCTACTTACTTTCCTTTTTTGTTTATTCATGCACGAGAGAAAAAAATTGTCCATCGTTCATTCTTTCAAATGAATTTAATAAAGTGCGTAAACCACATTTTCGTTATTATCGCTTATATTAAGCACGCCAAATTTCAAAAAACGGCCAAAATGTAAATTCACTTATATCTTAGGAAATTTTGAATAAAAACTGTAAAGTTTTGCAGATATACTTAGAAACACACCTACTTTAAGATGATGTAAAAATTTATATAATTTATTGTTCAAAATATTTTTCGGAAAATTTCTAAAAGATATTTAAAAATACCAAAATTTTAAAATAAATAATAAAAAATTTGCCAATTATACTTGGGTGAAGCCTAAATTTTGAATTCTGGAAGAAGGAATCAAGTAAGTTTAATAAAAATGAAATATTAACAAATATATATCAAATTCAATTAACATTGAGGAGATAAAATTTTGAAAGCTAATTTTTAAAAAACTACTTTTGCGATTTTTACAAAATTTGGCAATTTGGCGTAATTTGTGTCGTAGAATCGAAAAATGGAAAAAAAAATTGGCATGTCATTTCAGAATAAGTCCAATTTTGTGTCAAAATTGCTATATTAAAACAGTGCTGGATATAAATCTAATATATAGCCTAAGTCGCACTTTCGAGGCCTGGAAAAAGCAAATTGAATTTCATCAATCAGCCCAGTAGAACGGGAGATGTTGAACTGTCCCCCCCTTTTTCTGCTCAGTGTTCATACAAATATTAAATGTTCTGCTAGCTTGAGAACTGATTTATAATGTTAATTGCTCAACCAGTTAGATACTTGAAATTCTTCTGTCTCTCTTAACACAACATCTCAAAATTATGGTGCTCAGGAACTCCTACCAATGTGAATGAGCTGTGTCATTAACAAGAGCTGTTTAGTCTCGCTTGTAGTGAGTGCAGGCTGACGTTAAAAAACCGCAATATTTGCGTTTACTCTAGTGTAACTGAGACATGCACGTATTTCTGAGCTGGACTGTGTTTGAGACGAACGCTAAGAAGAAACATCTCAGCGTAAAAGTGATATTTAACTGTTTGAAAGTTGCTGCATACTATCAGGATAACATTATAAACACATTTCAAGGTAAAAATTCTTAATTTAGAAGTCAAACAATAAAAGTCAGCGTTATGTTTTTAAATTTTCACAGGACTCGTTTCGATGGTTTTACCGAACCATCATCCTCAGCTGCAAAAGTGCAAATGAACGAGATAAGATATAATGATTAGATAAGATAAGAAAGCCTGGACAGCAGATATGCTACTGGCGCCATCAGTTGATGAAACCAGAACTAAAACATAATTTCTTTAAGGGCTGAATGCAAAGATGGATTGGAATTAGGGTCGTTAACTAGAACAGAAAGATTTTTTTGAATGTGAAATGCCTTTAGAAAATGCAGCTCACCAATGGAAGATGTTTTTTGAATAATTTTGGAAGCAGAAAAATTGAAAATGTGATTTTCGGACCAACAATGTTGGGCAACAGAAGACTTCTGTGTTTCCTTTTTTCTAACATATGCCTCATGTTCCTTAACGCGAAATTTTAAGGCTCTCTTAGTTTGGTCAATGTAAATTAAACCACACTGGCAAGGAATCCTGTAAATACCCCAGGAATTCATATGCGGAATGGGGTCCTTGAGAATGGAATTCGGCATTTTATTGATGGGAGAATAAACGACCCGAAAGTTAAATTTCTGCAAAATACGTGTAACTTTAGCTAATTCTTGGAAAGAAGGGAATGGCAACATAATTTTTATAATCTCTTAACGCAAGAGTGTGCCTTTCGGTTTGTTGAGATGAGAATGTTTTAACTGCTTGATTAATAATGTTGGGCTATTTTCAATAGCTATTGCTTTTAAATAGCTATTGAAAATAGCCTAAAATTAATTGTTGTCAATAGCTATTGCTGTGAATAGCCCCCTGTCAATAGTTATTGCTTTTAAATAATTTAGTTCTTCATCAAGGGATAGTTTGGAGGAGCAAACTTGAAGAGCACGGAAAACATAGGAATAAAATGAAGCTAACTTTTGTTTAGTCTAAAAATTCTAATTCGAATGTTCGATACTTCATGGTTTGACGGAGCGGTTGTATTTAAGCAAATGTAATACGGTATGCTTTTATTTAAAATCCGTTCGAGCCGGGTAGCGAAAACGCGCGCTTATCGCGCAGGCCGGCATTGTCTTCCGCGAGCGTTTCTCCAGGGCCGGGGGCTTTTTTGCTACTAAGCCTAAATCCATGGAAATTTCCGAATATTAACGCATTGTTTAATAATGCTCTATAGGTATTTAAACGGCTTATGCTTGATAGATATTTTTATATATATACTTTAATTACCTTATTTCTTGTTTAAATGCATATTTTACACATTTTATTTTAATTACTCACCCTTTTATGACTTTAACATTATACTCTGAAACTTAAATATACTTAATTTCTAATTCTTTTTCGTATGAAAAATTTAAAACAGGGATCTACACACAGTCCTACGTTACATTCCTTGAACAACTCGTAATAACTCATTGCCGTTTTGGAGGATTTTTCCGGGAATGTGAACAAACGAAGCACCGTCGTCTCATTTTCTTATCAGTCTCTTCTGAACAAGTTTTGGAAATGTCTTTCAGTTAGTTCTCTTTCAGAATCAATATCAGAAATATCAGAATTTCAGAATCAATATCTGAAAATATTTGCAACATTTCTGCTATTTCATGCTCTGTTAAACATTTTCGACGCTCGACATTGAAACGGTAAAAACAGAAAAATTCACGTCTAACAAGATCTAATTATTTTCTAAAAACTGGAACTGTAAACCGAATACTCAACGCTTTAGCGCATATAAAACTTCTGCTTACAATAAACAACTCACGTGCGAATAAAGTGCGATTTAAAGAGACGTCATAAAAAACATTCGGAAACATTTAGTTTCCCGATTGTTTATATAATCAAAAACACGTGTATGTGAGTCATGCTTCTCTCATTTCGATTAGAATGTCTAATGTACATGTATCTGAAACCATATGGGCATACAGTGCCATCTTGTGGCAGAAATTATAGTTTGAAAAACGTTCCAAGGTACTGGCACAAATACGTGACATTCGGTAGAAAACGCAACAATGCTCTGGCACGCCTGCGTGTCGGCCGGTAGATAAGTGTGTTCGTTGCTGGCACGTATACGTGACAGTCGGCGCGAAGGGGTTAAATTTCCGAGCAGAAACAGCCGTTCGGAATCTTAAAACAAGCATGCGGTGATGATTTTTCTATACTAGTACCGTAATTTGTACTTAACTGCGTAATAATTAATTTGTTTCAAACTTACTTTCCCCACAAAGATTACTTAAAAACTAAAAGCTAACCTGATCAGAAATCTGAGTTTTTGACTTAAAAGGAGTTTCATTAACATTTAGAATTGCAAAAGTTTAATTTATTAGAATACATCGTTAAAATGATGCTGATATTTGTTTCTGGCACTAAGATCCATATTCTATCCATGTGAGTAAGCGAGGAACATTTATGCTATTATTTTTTTTTATTTTCAGTACCACCTTTATTTATTTCCTGAATAAAGGCTATGCGGTGCAAGTGTAGCACCCTTTTCGAAGAACCAGGATATATAATAAGCATATATTAGTATACTATACGATGACAGTGACTGTGAATCAAAGAAATTGAATGAGCCTCTTGCGGAATTTGGAAAATTTTTTTGGAAATTTGCCATAATGGTCATTTGCCTTTTAAGCAATGGAAGGTTTTTATTCTTATCAGTTTATTTTTTTTTCAGTATTTCTGAATCATATTGCTCTTTAGTTTTGTTTTCTTAATGGGATGTGGGCCCACCAGCGGCCGAGCGGTAAAGACGCTGAACACTGGTAGTTCGGTCCGAGGTTCGAATCCGGCGAACGGGCTGGCTGCATGGGCATTTTCGTCGTTTTCCCCATGTGTAACTTGTATACGAGCCAGTTTCCCTTAGAAAGTCCTCCCCTTAGGCAGATAGACCTCAAGGCTTTGCCATAATCACACACGCACACAATGCCGCAGAATATTAATCGTTAGAGAATCAAATTTAGCAGGCGAATCACGTTCTAATTTTACCCTTTGAAACCTTCCTTCAAATATTCTCTGCTTTCTACCACATTTGAATATCGCGCAAGCTAGATTTTGGTTGGTTTGGTTTATTTAATTATGGCAAAGCACACTAGGGCTATCTGCCTAAGGGGAGGGATGCCTTCGTGGAGGACTTTCTAAGGGGAACTGGCTAGTATACACGTTACACATGGGGAAAACCACGAAAACGCCCATGCAGCCAGCTTGTTCGCAGAATACGAACCTCGGACCGAACTACCAGTGTTCAGCGACTTTACCGCTCGGCCGCTGGTGCGCCCGCACAAGCTAGAAATTTACATTTCGGCAGGGAAACAGAAATGAGATCGATAGGAAAGCCTATTTACATAATAGTATTTGATAGGTATGACAATATTAACCAGATTTTATTGTATTTCATCATTCACACTTTGCACTTTTCTGTGACATAATTCCTTTTCATTATTGAATCGGATAAAACGAACTAAAATTTTAATCCCTTGAAGTTCGTTATACTTCGACTGTATTTTTAATTAGTAATCTAATTTAGAATTAGATGAGACATTACAAGCAGGAACATTTTGAAAAGAATGTTGAGGCTTTTCCTTGTTAAAAAGTGAAGCTAATAAAAAGGAATTTACTTACTTATGATTATTTAAATTACTTTAGACCAATGGTATTCAAACATTCTTCCATTGCGACCCTACTCAAGACATCAAGGTAACACGCAGACCCAAAAGTTAAAACAATCAATAATATAATTCTAAATGCTCAAATCTAACACTAGATAAAAAAAAAAAATCAGGAATCTGTTAAATTATTTAATTTTGTGCAAAACAAATATTAATCTCATTTATAAATTAAAATTAAGACACAGCAGCATAAATTCACTTAAAAAATTATAAAAGCACTTAGAGCCATTAGGTTACTTCGAAATAGGAGAGATGAAAATTGAGTAGAGACCTCGCGGGAACTCTAACCACGGACCACTCGGATACGCGCGGAAAGGCGGAGAGTGCTGACCATTACACCACTAAGGCATGATAAAAAAGTGGGAGAAATATCTTATAAGGAAAACATTTAATGCGAGATATGAGCATGTCTTTTGATATTTCTCTCTCAATTTACTTTAATTTAAGTTTTAAAAGTGGCTCTACTGTTAATTTGTTTACCGGCTGTCTACTCGATCGACTCCGCAGGGATTGACTCGCTAAACGAGACAGCAACTCAGCTGACTATCTCGCACGGCAAGCCTAAACCTACTTTGCGGGGAAGCCATCTCACCGCGTCTTTACATCTCGTAACAATATATTAGCTGTGCAGTATTTGGCATTCGGTGACTTCAACCAACTACAGATTGAAATTTTACTCTTTCGAATTCTGAGGAATTATAATGTTCGATTTCCAATTTCCAAATTATTTGTAATTTCATATATTCAACGACCAGTTGTTGCAACAGCGAGTAGTATTTTATATATTTTTTTGCTATATAACAGAATGCTTTCTATACTGGACTGCTGGAACAATTAGCTGTTCAGCAATTGTGTATGGTAGATGCTTGCGCAGTTTATTTGTTTTAAGTGACTCATTTCAGTTTTCAGTCGACATTTGGCAGTGCTGCCAGACACAGAACGCGTCTAGCTCCTCCTTCATCATCTCCAATACACACAAAACCATGTTTTATAATCTGATCGTCAAAATCACGAATTCCTTTATTTGCTTTTATTTTTTTTTATATTTCGACTTAGTAAAGGCAGACATCTCCAAACGTATTTGGTCGGCTTCAGAAGTTACAGGAATCGGAATCGAATCGCTGCTCTCATCATGTTTTCCTTCACAGTTAATTTTTAAAATTATCCAACCAGTTTTTAGCCACTTATTTATGAGGAAACATAAAATTTGTGCTCTCATCACTTGTTTACATGTACTACATCCTCTGAAAACGAACGCGGCGTTACCGTTTGTCTACCAAGAGAAATATCTCGCCATTACGTGTAGTATTAATCGGTGACGGTCGCTTTAGTAATAGGGCTATTGCACTTGAAGTACGGGGGAGGGGTGAGCCAAATGAATGTTTATTGCTATTTTGTTTTTGGCGAACGTTAACAGCGGTAAATAGAAAGTCTACAGAAAGTCAGCTCGACATTAGGTGCTTCAAGATGGCAAACCAGAAAGCATTTCTTCAAGCCACCGCTATCTAAAGTGGGTTAGGGTTCGTTTCTACAGTAACACACAGCTGCATACTATATGTTGAGAGCTGTTCTTGTGATAGACAGACAGTGCATGACGTCATCCGAGAAATAACAGACCAAACCAGATTTTAGAACAATTCAAAGACCGGAGGAACAAAGGAGTTGAACAGTCTTCAAATTGAAGACATGTAGGGCAGCATGGACAAGGGGCGGTCTCGCATTGTCGTGCTAAAACGTAGAGTGACGAAAGGTCATGAAGATCTATCACAACCACAGATGTTTATGTGTAACAATGGCTATAATTTAGCAATGGCTGGTCAAAGAAATGGGTATGCGAACTAGAAATGACCTGGACGTGTAGCTAATGGCGCACTCGACAATAAATTCTGGTATTAGTCAGATATAATGATGAAGAATGCAAGCTTTCAGTTCTTCTCTTCCAACGGAGGAACAAAGGAGTTTTAAAGGAGCTGAACACCATGCATATTGAAAAAACGTAGGACAGCATGGACAAGAAGCAGTCTCGCACCGTCATGGTGGAAAATAAGGCGATGGCGGTCATGAAGCCACAGCCGCGGATGTTTAAACTTATTATGTAGATCTGGGATGACTGGTAAAAGTAATGGGTATGCGGGCTAGAGATGACCGGGATTTGTATCTAATGACACCCTAGAGTATCAATTCTGGTATTAGACAGATATAACGATGGGGAATGCAAACTTTCAGTATTCGTTCTCCTCGTTCCAATGTTGGCTGTCCTCGTTCGTTCTCCTCGAACACGGGCATCAATGATACGGTAAGCAAAAGCGAGATGTTCGAAAAATACAACGTTATACAATCCCTCAACAGTAACGCGAACAAAATATCAGTCGTAACGTTGATAGGCGAGTGCGGACATTTAGACCTTGCATATTGCTCTATTATCATCGCTAATCGATTGCGAATTTCATACAAATCAATGTATCTCAACCATCGGTAGTAGCGGTCGTGAAGGCTAAGATTCCGCACTCTAGTACCCAACTCGCGATCGAGTTGTGGGACGTGAGGGTATGAACTCATTTTTCTTACACGAGGTACAACACGACCTCCAACATAAAAAAAAGAGAAAATTCGGGAAGTCTGGTCTGCCATTTTGTGTTACTTTGAGGTGCTATTACTGCCGCCAATATAGTGTGCACGCTATGAAATTCTAAGGATTGCATACCCTAGCATGTTGTACTTTTCATCCGAATTTCGATTTGTTTCTTGCTTGCTTAATGGTATAATAATTTTAATGACAGCAGAGTACTTTAAAACAAAATAAAAATTATATGCCAATAAATGAAGAATATTTCGTTCTTTAAGTAGATTAAATTTCATAGAGAAAGTCTTAAACAAATGTTCAAATTAGTTTTGTGTCGGTATCCTTGCTTAATACGACAGTCTCTGAGATATCGTAAAAAATGACATGTTATTGAAGTGTCATTAATTTCTTCAAGCACACCCCCGTTTTCCCCATTATTATATTTTCCCCAATTAACTGAATCTAAGTCGTTCTGCGATTAGATTAGGCTAAAAGGGGATAACGCCTATCATCTAAAATGCATGTAAATATTGATGTTTAGAAGTCATAAATTTTCGTTTAGAAATCGAAAAATATGTAGAGGAAATGTGCTAAAAATGGCAGAAGAACAATTTTGCAGATTGGCGTGGTATGATATTTCTTTGCTAAAGAAGGTAAAAATAAATCTTGGCGAATACGAACAAAATAAAAAATGCATTGGACAAGATTAAATCAATATAATATATCTAAGAAATATATCGAAAATTAAAAAATTTAAACTCTGTTCACATGTATATAATTCTACAAGAATTAATGACAAAGCTAACCTTTCAATTTAGATTTAAGAACGTGTATTTTTTTCCTTTTCTTTCGTTCAGTTTTTGATTAAATATGAATATACATTAAAACTCAAATTAAGTGCACTACATATCCGAAACTTCATCTCTTCATATTACCTGCTATTTGCAACAAAAGTTATGAATTTTTCGTTCATTACTTTATAACCATTATAACTTTATAAAAGTTATAAAGGGCTGAAAGATATTTTATTTATTCATAAATTCATTGTAAATGTGATAGCCTGCATTTCATTATTAATTTTATTATTTTGGTTTTGTATTATTTTGTTACTGCCTATCTAAAATTCTCTTCTGAATTAATTTTAAATTCATTTTACAGTCCTTTTTGGCAAAAAACAGTCCTTTATTATGTCCGTACGTGCAGATGTTATGCAAAAACATCGTTCATTGCAAGGTTTCATAACTATATTGCAAGGTTTCGAGAGCAGTTGGAATGTATATTTTCTTGAAATGCAATACCCGAAAATGTTCGCAATTACAATTTTTTCTTTACTTCGTAGAAGGAAGCAAAAATTTAAGCCTTTGCATTAATGAAATGAAAATAAGTTTTTACGGCTAATGAACATCATAGGCGGCTTTAATTTCACTGTTTCTTAAGCTCCTAAATAATATTTTATTCTCTATACGCATATTAGCATTCTACAAAATAATAATTATAAAAAAATGTGTACACCACATGACTTCTTGTACAGAATATTAAATTATACGCATTTCTTCTTGCATTTCATTTAAACTTATTTGCTCGAATTTCATTAGAGATATATTTCTAATTCAATTAATTACGTTCTCACTTCGCGGAAAGGCAAAAATACTTAAAAACTCAAAAATAGTTTTATTAAAAAATTGAAAGATACAGAAGAACATAAAACATGATATACAGTTAAAACAATTAAAACAACAATTTTTACAATTAAAATTACAGTTTCTAAGCAAAAACAAGCAATTCGGGCCACAGCCAAGAAGGCAGATTTCTCGGTGCACAAAACTAAAAGATTCCTTTCGGTCCCACTCTGCAAAAAGACACTGAAGGGGCAGAAAAACCTAATTAACTGTTCTACTAAGTTTCAAATGTAAGCAAATGGTAATTCGTTAGGCTTAACTTGCCACTTAAACTTCTAGATTGTTGGTAATTCTACAGCTATTGCATGCAGATTAACTAGAAGCATAAAAACCTTAACCGCAAGTTAAGAATAAAATAACTCAATAATTTTAATGCAAAAAATGCACAATTTACCAACATATAATAATAAAAACCGGACCTCACCGAACCGAGCAACATAGTGGATATACGCATAGTTTAGGTGCAGGCTATTGCAACCAAAAACGGAGATGCACCATTATATGTTATAGCAGTCCTATGTACAAAAACTCGTTTCTGAGTTATGCGAGCTACATACGTACGTACAGACGCCACGAAAAAATCTCTTCTGAATCCATTTTAAATCCGTTTTATATTTCGTTTGGGTAAAACCATTTATTCAGTCCTTACATACAGCTGTCACGCAAAAACATCGTTAAGTTGCATTTGGTTGTGGTCAAAGTGAATATTTTCGTTGAAATATGATACCCAGAATTTTTTTTTGGATCACAATACTTCCTTTACTTCGTATAAGAGAGTAAAAACTAATTTCTTACAAAAAGTAAAATAAGGTAAAAACGAAAAAATTTATAATAATACGCAATGTTTTTATTTGTTTTCTTTCTTTTTTTTTATTTGTTTGCTTATCTGAGAATTATATAAAATCAGGTAAAAGGTAGAAAAGCAAAAGCACATGCTCATTTTCTGATATGCAAGCACAGTCATTGCCAAAGTGCAATAAAAATGGTGAGTTCTGTAATGCTAATTGCTCACCATATATTACATGAAACTTTTGGAATTCTTTCTATAAGTTAGTTTCATTCTCTTTCTTCATTAAACAATGTAACTTTCTTTAAATAAAATAATTTTGTTTAATCTATTCAAACCTTACAAATTGCACGTAATGCTAAAACCCTTTTGTGTACATATTTTTAATATATTTAGCCATTTAGAAGCATTACGTTTTTAGAAATATATTATTTATGTTTGTAATAAAATTTCATGTAAACTCATGGCTTAATTATAGGATGCGATAGTGGTTTTGGTCATCATTTAGTTAAACGCTTGTATTCAAGAGGATTTCAAGTGTTTGCATGTTGCCTCTTTCCTTATGGAGAGGGTGCTGTTGAGTTAACGAAGAGCTGCTCCGACAGGCTTCATGTACTGGGACTTGATGTAACAGATGACGACAGCGTAAAAGAGGCTGTGACGTATGTCAAGCAAAACCTGGGCAATTCCGGTAATTCTTTACCTGTTTTTATAAAACAAGTTACGTTGTGATAGAACGGAATTCCAAGCATTTTTCAAGATTTCAACCATTTTTAACATCATTCAGAATGCTGAATTTAGACCTGGTCTTAAAATTAAGCAGTACATATAAGTTTCTAAAAGACATGATTTTTTATTACAGATTAGGCTTATTAACATATGCTTAATGTAATTACAATGCTCAAATTAAATAAACTAAAATAACAACTCTATAAATAATAGAAGAAGATTTTATTTCGAATTTTTATCATACATTTATAAGGTATTTTCCCCGCCTTCTTAGCATGCCTTCGGGGTGTAGTGGTAAGCACGCTCGGCGCGTATTCGAGAGGTCCATGGTTTGATTCCTGGCGAGGGCATCGCTCATTTTTCATCTGTCTTGCTCAAAAAAATTCTAATATCTCTGAAGTGGCGCCCGAACTAAAAGGTGGTGAATGATGAATCTCCACCACCAGGATTTGGCGACTGGGTCCTCTAATCCCCAGTCGCCCTTTAAAAGGGGGGAGTATATAAGGTATTTCTTCCGCCTTCCTAGCATGCCTTCGTGGTGTAGTGGTCAGCATGCCCGGCGCGTATTCGAGACGTCCGTGGTTCGAGTCCCGGCGAAGGCATTGCTCATTTTTCATCTCTCCTGCTTTAAAAAAATAACTAATGTTTCTGCAAATTATGAATTTATAAACATTTTTAACATTTTGTTTAGTCCAATAAAAGATGCCTTAAACATTTTTCGTACTTACTTATTAAGGCAGCCACCTTGGCTCCATCTGGCGAATTTTAACAGATGAAAAGGAAAAAAGTTGCTTGTCAGATGCAATTTGGTGGTTTTAGGAAATGTTTTTAGACACATAATAGAACTGCTGCAGTGAATTTGATGCATTTTGATTGAAAATTTAACTTAATGGCAAAGGAAAATATTTCTGCAAGTAAGAATAACGCAATCACGAAAGTATTGAATCCGTAAATATTTCATTGAACTCAAAAGCATGAAATCCTCAGAAGATGATTTCTTATGATGTCAGTTCTCTGTTACTTCTAATGCATGATACAAAGGTTTTAGTAATTCTAACATAACCATAACAAATTCATATCTCTTACTCTCACGAATGGGACGACTTTTCGACGTTTCACGAATGGGATTTTCTTCTTCAAGATTGGAACAAGTTTAATATACTCTCCTTCGGAACAGAATTTCTTTTAGAGTGTTCATAAAAGAGTCACATTCTTCTATGATTTCCGTGTAATTAAGAATATCTTTAATGTGATATACATTAGATATTTGAAGATGAGAGAGTGAGAAGAACAATGCGTATAGACTGCTAAAGGAAATCTTTCTGTCACTTTAGTTTGTACTAAGGCTATTCGCACCTTTTCTAGACGATTTTCATTGTATTTTCAGAAACATTTTACCTACATTTTTGTGTTTTAAATGTTCCATTTGATAACCCATATTCTTTCCTATCTTTCTACACCGTAATTTGCAAGACAGTAAAACTTCTTTAGTAGCGGAAGAGCTATTTTATCCGATTCCTCTTGAACAGTTTTCCAAAGTCCAAAGAGGGTTGTAGGTCTACGTCTGGGCAATCCGCTTTTTAAACGTCCAGAAGCACAAAAATCCGTAAATTTGTACAGATGTAGCACATAATGTAGTACATGTAGCACAAAAATGCTACATCAAGAGATTTAGTAGAGGTATGAGTAAAGGTATGGCTTTGATATACGTTTCTTGTTCTATTTTGTTCAGAAAATTAATAGTGGATTTTGACATGCGGCTGCTTGCTTGATCTTGATGCAGTTCTAGTGCCACTATACATAAAAATAAGGCATTTCATATTTGAAAATGGGGTATAAAATATGTTCTTGATAATATATGGAATTGACCTTAACAGTTTTCCGCACTCTCTTTAATTTTTATTTGTCGTTATATGAAAGACCAGCAACAATCATAAATTCTTTGAAAAACTTTCTTTAGATACTTTGAACCATATTATAAAATCTTTTGTTCTCTTTGATGATATTAAATGGATCCTTTTTATTACGTTATTTAAATATACCCTAGATTCATCTACCGTCACAACAGTTTTCCATTCTTGTTCGAATAATTCTTTCTCACAGAAACTTCTGCAGTTCTTTCTGCTTTCGGCGATTTAACGAAGAGAAAGGCGATGCTCATTACGTTTATTTGCCTTTTTAAGGTCCAAATAATCATTAATCACTTTGTTTACAGTTAGCACTGAGCACTCAATCACTAATGATAATGCAACTGTCCTTTGACTTCGAAAATTTTCTTTTAACATTAAAGTTCTTACTTTTGCAACATTTGAAATATTCCGCTTACCATGGCTAAGTAATTTGAAAAAGTTTTCTCTTTGAAACCAAACTTTGATATTTTTTCCCTTTCTTATTACCAACATTATCTATCTTTGTTTTAGATACCAAAAAATCATAGTTTTTAGCAGCCTTTTTTAATAATTAAATACGAATGACTTTCTTCGGGAAGAGCGAAATCACAGTCTTCCGTCCATTGCTTCTTTAAAAACGCCATTTTTCATGAAAATAAAATTATCAAATATCAGAAGGTGCATTTTCAAAAATACAGTTGCAAATATAAAATTTTTTCCAAATCGTCTAAAAATGTGCGGACAACCTCGGACATGGGTACAACACCATCGTATTCATCTATTTAAAATCTAAGCTTAATTTTAAATCAAATTAAATGTGATATCAAATCAAATCTAAGTCATAATTCAAATTAAATTATCTATAATGGCATTAGCTAAATATTCTGTCGTGTTGTCATTACAGGTGCAAAGTGTAAAAACTTTTATGCTAAACTTTTACAATAATTGTCTTTCAAGTTCTTCCACATGCCCCACAAAATAATATTTACACTTGCGAGCAAAAGTCTGTACTTTAATCAGTTGTAATTGGAAAGCGTTTACTTGCATTCACTTTTTCAACAATCTTTCACAAAATGTAATAATCGCAAGCATTTACGTTTTCATTTGGTATTTCTGGCGGAATGTACGTTGAATGATTGTTGCGAGATTTTAAATGATTTTTAATGCGTCATTTCCTGCATTAAATGTGAGGAATTCGCGAAATTTTCCTTCATACTGATGAGATTAAACACTATCATGATTTACATTCATGTGCCTAGATCTGCAATTTCCTCCCAAAGAAAATCCATTTTTTTGACGGAAGATCATTATGATTTATTACAGGAGGAAACTTTTTGCAATTTCTTTAGCGCTAGGGATAACAGCTGTGGATTGTTTTCGTCCTAGAACGATATGTTTCAAAATATCAGTAGATAATAAAGGATACTTATGATACTTTTTCTTTTGGTGTTCATGGAAATTTTCTTTAGATTTTCTTCAATTGCGAAATGTCCCTTTTACAAATTGTCTTTTTTGATTCACCAGCATATCCTTTGGTAAATGTACATAAACTACATCGTTAATATTAGAATAATCCAGCCAAGGGAATTCAAATAATAATGTACATTTACATTTTCCGATTACACTTACATCGCCAAATGAAGAACTTCAAAACGCGTACTTTGCTGTTGGAACCCGTGCATTTTCAAGAAAATTGTATTTACTCCCTCCTTTCTGCATGTCTTCGTGGTGTAATTGAAAGCACACTCGGCGTGCATTCGAGAGGCCTAGGTTCGAGTCCCCGCGGTTCGAGCATTGTTAAATTTTCATCACTCCTGCTTAAAATAACCTAATGACTTTACAAGTTTATCTTTCTCACTTAATTTTCGATTTGCAAAATTTGATATATCATATTTTGCATATTGGTGAAAGATTGGTTGGTATATTTTGCATGAATGTGAGGAAGCTTAAGTGTTCTTAGAAGTCATTTAAGTTTCAGCTTAAGTGCTCGTAGAAGTATCTGAATTTGATTCAAAAGTACTTGTAGAAGTAAAACTTTGAGGATGAGTTTCACCTTCAAAGCTTGCTGTTAATGTTTTAGTATTTTCGAATTGTCGCTGATGATCGCTTAATACGAGATACATCTTTGCTTGCATTTCGTTTTCCAATTCAGATTCGACAGTTTTTTGAATGATTTAAGAGGGGTAGTTGTCTCTTCTTACTCAGTTTGAAATTAATGTATCTACCCAGGTTTCCTGACCTTCATCACTCTGTCTAGGTTGCGGCCTACCAGCGGCCGAGCGGTAAAGTCCCTGAACACTGACAGTTTTCGGTCCGAGGTTTGAATCCGGCAAACATTCTGACTGCTTTGGCGTTTTCAAGGGCGAAATTAGCGAAATAAGCTCACTTTTAGTCCGACACAAGAAAAAATTTGGAGGTGCATATGGCTCTTTGCCACCCTCTGGGCGCGCCATTACTGGATCACAGCCATGCTCGACCTTTGCTCTATCAATCTGGCCAGGAAAGAGCTGTAATGTTGTGGAGGTATTACTGTATGTGGCCTGTCGCTGTCCTGCTGAAACATGTCCTGTTGAAACAAATGGCTATTAAATTAGCAAAAGGAAATAATATTATAGAATTAAATATTAATACTGACAGTCAATCTGCCATCTGTGCTATCTCTAACCCATAAAATCAATCTTATATTGCTTATGACATCAATACCCTGTCTAAAATAACAGATAATTTAAAAATTCCTATATCATGGATAAGAGGCTATAGTGGAAATGCTGGTAACAAAACAGTCGACAAACTTGCCAAAGAAGCTGCTCTTAACCAAGAAAGCAATTTTCTCTATATAAAATTTCTCAAATCTTATCTTCGACTCTCCATAAAAGAACAAATTACTCAAATATGGCAAGAACAATGGAATAACGCATCTACAGGACGACGTACTTACTAGTTCTACCCCAACTTCAATACTCTCACCAAGAGTACAAAATCCTTTTTAACATGTTATATTCCTGGGCCATGGGCCATATCTTGTTTATTTTCATCAAAGACACTGACTTCTGTATATGCGGCCAAAAAGGAGATAGTGATCGTCTCGTGGTGCCCACGTTCTCCGTCACTAAACTAAGCTATCTTTTCTCATGGCCTCTTGCGAAAAATTTTCATATTCGTACACCCAGAAATATTGATATATTCTTCAATAGAATGATGATCAAACTTCAACATGATCATTCTAATATGAAACAAATTCACCGAAAATTTAACATAATTGGATTAAATCTATGCAGAGTAACTCCATCTACAACAAACAAAATATAACAAATATTTAATTTTCAACCTTGTAGAATTTTGAAAATCAATTATCGATTTTTGTAACAAATACTTACTTGTACTGATCGTAACAACAAAAGCCTAACAAAATCCATAATAAAGAAAATAAAATATAAACATTGAGTCATGACAGTAAACTAGAACTGAAAAGGTGAGTCATGATATTGATTTGCTGTGTCATGACAAAAATGAGCTATGAAATATTGCATGAGTCATGTAAAATATATGGACTTAAACCATGACCTTTTTATGAACTCTATAATTATGAACACTTTAATGGCTCATGAACTCTGCCTAATGAACAGTGAAAACTATTTGTGATCATGAACTATAAAATACAATTTTATTCTCTTCTACATTTTATACTTCTATTTTATTAATTTTATTATATGATGCATCATGTATTATCCTATATTTTAGCATTTTACTCAAAATTCTAATTTTATTATGTGGTATACTATATACTATTCTATATGTATTATGCTATATTTTCTTTTCTATATTTTAAGTATTATTCTGTATTTGTTATGATATATTCTACGTTTTAGCATTTTATTCCAAATTTGGAAAATTCTCTGGTCTCATCCGGTGGGCTAATTATTGATTTACCCACTACACAGTAACCCTTCTAATAACACTTTTTCTAGTTTTCTTCTTTTTCTTCTAAAAATCGTTCTCCCTTTCAGTCCTCCTCTTTTAATAATAAACTTCCAAATCTCCCTCTAAAGAATTATCATCAGCTTTATTCTTCTTCTGTCCTTTCCCCCTTGCTCTATTCGGTTAATGATTGGGATCTATACCTGTGCAATCTTTAATGAAGTTCTGGTGCTCCTAACACTTTTACCTGTACCTGTTGAAATATATTTCCTGGGAGCCCTACTATCAGAAGCAACATGTTATTGAAGAATGTCCCCAACGTCTCACTATGCTGTCATGGTGACGGGGACCAACAGTAGAAGTGACCGTGTGTCGTATGCAATGACACCATATACCATCCCACCAGCTGTGGGAGCGGCGTGTTGCTATAACACAGGAAGATAGACGTTTACCACGGAGCCTCTAAAGACGTACATGGTAATTATCGCTGCCCAAACTGAATCCTGATTCATTACTAAAGACGACTTGATTTCAGTTCACGGGCTTTTAAGTTTTGTCGACAGCGTCACCATCCAAACGGAAATGACGGCTGGTGTACGCCATTGGTAGCACACGTAATGGGCACCAAGATACTGATAGTCTTTCATCCCAGCACTTCGCGAAAGTACAGACAGACACAGACCTCGTTAAAAAAGTGCTGCCCGTGTCAGTCTTTGATGCCATTGACGTTGTGTCTGCGTGTCGGGTGATGTGACGGTCTTCTGAGCTACATCTCTTCCGAGAGCGTTCTGAGTCTGGTCACCGTGTGAACTGTTTCTTATTCACTGATCTCTACACCCCATCACGATTTCTAAACTGGGATGGCCTAGGTGGTGGGTTACTCGCCTAACTGACCACCCAACTTCCGTCATACCAATGACTCTTTGCTTCTCGAAATCTGACAGCTGATCAAATTGTCTTGTAACGGTCTTGTAATGGTGTTGTAACAACATCTTTAGTGAAAAAGGATCCCTCTGCAAGAGACTGAATATAGGCACAATGCCTCTGCACCATTTTATGCGTCAGGGATAATGAATGTCAATGCCCACTGCTGCATTTTGCAATGCACATACACGCTGTTTCTAATCATTTGCATATCTGCCTGATACTTTCCTTTATGCCAATTCATTACGATTCGAGAATTAGTTCTTGGTGGAATAATTTTTATACAACATATCGAAACATAATTTAATAAAATTTTGGCTTGATACGCTTTGTGTATAAGTGTTTTTTAAGAAAGTATTATTTATTTATTTTTATTTTGATTTTTTGTTAATATTTTATAATTTAATAATTATATCTGCATTTATTTATATCCAATATTTATATATATTTTATTCTCAAGTCATCTGAAACTTACCTATAAATTAGATTAAACTTAGTTCCTTCTAAATAAGATGTTATTTAAAGTAAAAAATATATTAATCATCTCATTTATTTAAATTCACGAACACGAAGAAAAATCCTTTCTTAGTATTTTTTGGCAGATAGTACTGACCTTTATTTGTAGCGCATTATTATACTAGTTAAAACAGGTTCTAATTGCAGATAGAGAATTCATTTAAGTTAGGATAAAATTTCAAACTGCTTCCAAGCCAAGCAGGATATTATGCATCATTTCAAAATTTATGACATGAATTCTCACTAAACTGCTATTTTATCACCATCTGTCTTTGCAATACTATTTGTACATGACGAATAGTACATTGCTTCACAAAGTTTCCGTCCCTTCACACAGACTGTGACATCAGCAGGATGTTGCTGGAAACTTAATTTAGACGTGTCATCAGATTACATGGCACAATTTAGCAGTTTTTACGATCTAGCAGCAGTGAGAATTTTAAAGCTTCAGCTTCAAAATTTCTGTCTTGCAGTCTCCAGGACGAAGCGATGTTGGCTTTAGCTATTGAATACAGCTTTCGCCATGCTTTGATGAATAATCAATGACCTTGTAGAAACATTTGCAATAAAATCTTCGATAATTTATTGCAAAGGTATGTTATATTCTAAAATATTAGGTACCTTCATATTATCCCGTCGACCGTTGGCGAAAATGTCGCCAGCGGTCATCAGTAATTATTGCGAAACTCTAAAGAAAGTGTTCATCCATAGTAGATGCTAAATCTCACTACTTTGACGGTCGACACGATAATACGTAAGTACCAAATATTAAAATAGATCCTCTGTTCATCTCCAGATCTACTGTTACTGTTAGTTTCCTTCTTCCTTTTTTAGCACTCAACACAAGTTTTTCCGTCTTTCACATTCTTTTTTCATACCCTTACTACTGTATTATAAGAAATGTCCTATAGTTTGACAGTGGCTAAAATTGGTCTTCTTGGTTTGTGAGTGCTTGTTATTTGCCCGAAGTCAAATGTTTTTAAATTAGTTCTTTGTGATGTGAGCTATCTCTTATCTCCTGTTCGAATAGTTTATACAGTGCTGTTTGTCAAGGGATGTCACAAACACCTTCTTGCTCATTTTACGGTTCTCATCACAGCTGTGTACAATGGATTGTAGTTTGGGCGCATAACTCAGATTATGGAGAATCGATAAGTAAAAATATTTGCATTAGTTATTAAATAATTGTGAAGGAAGAAATTTTAATATGTTTTCACTGCCAGTTTTGGAGATAATAGGTAGGAGCTAATTCGTTTCATTTTCACGGGAAAATCATAAAAAATGAGAAAGCCCCCAAAATAGTTTTCTGCATTATTCTTATTATTAATGAATATTAATTACCATAAAATAGTTTGGTATTTAATTACTTTCAATTTTAAAATTTTTGAGCTATTTTAAATGATGCAGAAATTTATAGAAGTAGTTGCCGAATTGTCATCTATAGAATTTAATTTTCTAAGTTTGGTAAATGTAAGTTTGGTAATCCGTTTCATTCGCAAGGACAAATGATTAAAAATTTACAATTCGTAAAGCAATACCTTGTATATTTTGGTATGTTATGCAGCTGGGAACGATATGCTGAAACTTATTATAAATTATTTATAAACAAAGTAAACATTAAATAATTATATTTCATGTGTAGTATCAACAGGTAATTGTCATAAATGTTTTCAACCTACAATTACATTCAATTTTCAGATTTCTGGGCTATTGTGAATAACGCAGGAGTTTACAGAGGTAACAATGTTGAGCTGTCGTCGATGGAAGATTATAAGTATACCATGGAAGTGAATGCTTTTGGACTTGCAAGAGTTACAAAAGCCTTCTTACCATTGCTGAGACAATTCAAAGGCAGAGTAGTGAATTTAACTAGTTTGGCAGGTGAGAATAACTTTTAACATATTTTGTAGGAGACTGATAGCTAAATTTTATTTTACTCTCTTAATTAATTTAATATGTATTTCTCTTAAGGAATAAAATTCATATTCAATAAAAAATATAACTTCCTGTTGGAAATTTATATTTTCTCCCTCGCGGCTGCGCTGAGCACCGCGAGGGGGAAAGTAAATAATCTCACAGCAGAAACCCTTTCGATGTTAATGACGACTGTGTGTTCTTCCGACGGTGGTGAAGACTGTGTGCCATTCAGATGAGCCTTATCTACTTGGCCCACAGCCATGAATCATTCCATGGTGTGGCGATTTCGACACATGGAAACCTCTGTTGAATATACATGTGGAAGACTACATTGGAACAGGAATCTAGCACCGTATACCGGTTTAAAAATGTTAAGGACACAAGATGACTGTAACAGTCACTGTAAAAAGTATTCCAGAAAATTATTTCAAAAAACTGTTTTGAGCATTTAGCGGAGCCATTCAAAAGGTTCACAGAAACAAAGGATTCTGTTTTGAATAATCGTGACTAAAATTTATTGTACTTTCTTTCTTATACCCCGCAGAAGTCCTAAAATTTTATAGTCAATCTTATATATATTATTACGACGTATCGGATCGCCAGCAGAATAAGAAGATCATATTATGTGAGACTTATAGTTAACGGGAAATTAGACGAAGTTAATGACTTTAGATAGCTCAAGTGATAAGAGAAATTTTTGGAAAAAGGGCTTTCTCTTTTTTATCTCTGTGTGAAATAAGACATTTGCAATGTTGTCCGGAGTATCGCATTTGCTACTGAGCAAACCTAATTTTAATTCACAACGAAAAAATATTAAGGGGAAAGAAAATAATGAATATACATATACACACGTGCCAAAAAATAAAATAAGCAACAAAGACAAAACTCGAAATAAAATAAAAAATATTTAATGGATATGTGGCGAAATTGATCCAAGAGGTTTGTTTGGCTTACTAGACCACATAATAAACAATTAATCAAAGATATATAAAAACACACGCATTGCGACCATCATATCGCGAAAGACCAAAAGGAATGGAAGAACAGTCAACGGAAAGAACACGCTAATAAATGAGATGATACCCTCTAGCTGAAATGCATGCTTGACAACGGTGAGGAAAGATGACAAAAGTGTCGTTGATCGCTTATTGTAGAAGTAGCGCCCATTCTTGTAGTATTGCAAACCGGAGCTCGTGAAGGGTGCCTAGTGACACACTGAGACATTTTATCCTAGACGGTCGTCCTAACATTTATGACACATGCTTTAAAGGATTTAGGTTCGGTGATTTAACAGACCGCGGCAGATATAGAATGGCTTCATTCCCCAAACAACTCCGCGCCACTCGAGCTCTATGCAGGGCGTTATCGTCCAGTAATATCGCGTCGGTTCCCATTGCAGCGATAAAAGGACTTTCAAGAGGCTGTAGAATTTCGTCGCTATAGCGACAGTCGTCGGATATATATGTGGTAATTCGCTCCTACAACTCATCCGCCTTTTCCTAAATCTGGCAACAGCTACACAGTAGCGAGATACGTCTTCAAGCTGCGTGAGGAAATGGACAGACTTCCATTCCGATGAGATTAAGACACGGTGATGGATGTAACTGAACTATGCTGTTCGACGATGATGATGTAATTCCGTTTCATGACGATTCAAACTTTTTATCTTACTCCCGTTTCACTCTGTACATACCATAATCATGTTTATTCTTTCATCATTAAATACCTTTAAAATGCCACTGCTTTCCTCTATTTTAATCCTAACCTCATCCCACATGGGGGCTCGGCCCCTGGAACTCTTCCATCCTTTGAACTAACCACCCTAGACACCACTATATAAACTATCAATGATGGAATACCTTGGAAACCTATGGAATAATATCCAGTTGTTGATATTCCAGTTAAGATTCCAGTTGTTGTGATTCGTCAGCACGTAAGTAGAGCTAATTTTATTTGATGAAGTAATGCTAATCAGAAAGTAATATTCTTTCAAATTATGAATATTTCATGACGCCTTTTTATGAAGTTTATTTGAAGAAGTGAAAGGCATTTGATTTCGATGAAAATTCATTTTATTTTTGAATGATTATTACTTTGAAGAATTAACACTTCCGTTTTCGAATTTGATGTTGATAATAATTAATTAAACAGTTTTGATGAAGTTTAATTGAATAAAGGTATTTGATTTTGAGGGAAATACATTACTGACCATTTACAGAATTGTGATGTATTAAAAAAGTTACTTTGAAGAAATCCTTTCGTTTTCGAATTTGGTGCATAATTTCTTATTTCTTGTGATGCGTATATTTTACAAAGACTGTAGAATATTATTTTAAGTTATTAATTTTTATATCATATCTTAACGTGAAATTCTATTTTCCATTCTTAACATAGTCTTATATAAAGATTTGTTTGACGATATATTTTATCATTTGTTTGAATTATATGTTCACAATTTCATTTATGATTTTTGAGTGTTTCAACATCATAGTTATTGTGCAATATAATAAGAAGAATTAATATTTTTGTGAATAATAAGAAAAATTAAGAATATATTTTGTGATAATTTCTGAAACCAGATAAATAATATTTTACAAAATCGAAACATACATATGTTGTGAATTTCATATTTCGTAAAAATAAAACTGATAAATAATGGCTACACTTAACGATTACCCCAACATTGCACGGTCATTAAAAACTGCCAGTACAAAGCATATCAAGCTGTTACATCGTTTAGATTTTGGCTCAGATGGTGATCGGCAGAATCGTGCTAGGTTACGCAATTTTTCTAGTTTTCCCAAACCATTTAACTTTAACGATACGAAACAAAAAAATTATCAAAGAATTTTCTCTCACAGATTTAATTGCCATATGTAGCGTACTGCATTTAGAATTTTCCACCGATATTGAAAACTGTGCTAACAATATTCTTATGAATCTTGCTGATGTATCGTTATTAAAATCAGATTCCGCTGACTACAGCGACCTTGAAGAAGACGCTTTGGTGCAAAGTTCACCCTCGACGCATAGCGTCGCCCAAACAGCCATTAATCACACTCCAGATAAATCGTTATGTATCCTACAACTCATCCGCCTTTTCCTAAATCTGGCAACAACTACAGTAGCGAGATACTTCTTCAAGCTGCGTGAGGAAATGGACAGACTTCCATTCCGATGAGATTGAGACACGGTGATGGATGCAACTGAACTATGCTGTTCGACGATGATGATGTGATTCCGTTTCATGACGATTCAAACTTTTTATCTTACTCCCGTTTCACTCTGTACATACCATAATCATGTTTATTCTTTCATCATTAAATACCTTTAAAATGCTACTGCTTTCCTCTATTTTAATCCTAACCTCATCCCACATATATATTCTGTGACAGAACCAGCAGGAATCACATAGAGATCAGTGCTGACGTTCTTTGCTATCCCAGTCCATACAAGTACACCTCCTCCTCTGTAAGGGTCTCTTTCGACCCTTACAGAGGAGTAATTAAGCCCCCGATAATGCATCCCTAGCTCTTGCCATATCTTTGCTCTTCGGGGAATCGCTCTTGATATTAAATTGGGACTCATGCATAAAGAGTACGTAGACCCATTTCTCTGGTGTCCAACTGAGATGTTCACGGATCCAATTCTGACATGCGTTGGGAACAAAGGAAGACAAACCACAGATCGTGGGGCGTATACTCCACCTTCATGCAGTCAACGTGACACAGTTTGGCAGGATATCGGCCGTCCTGCAGCAGCAGAAAGATGCGACGCCAACTGTCGTGGAGTCAATGATCTATGGAGTCTTACACATAGCATCAGAAAGTCGGCCGCTGTGGAATCGGCCGACTTTCTGATGCTATGTGTAAGACTGTGAAGATTGTGAAGTCGGCCGCTGTGGTAATGCTCAGGCGTCCAGACCCACGTCTTCTACTGAGATTTTGATCCATTTAGTAAAGATTGAGCAGCCTACTGATCATACTACGATGCACATTCAGCTCTTTTGCAATAACGGATTATCTTGCACCAACTTGCGATATCCCGACAGCCCTGCAACACATATCATCGTGCGAATGGCTTCTTCGGCTTACGCTTTCCGCTTTGGCTATCTCGGATTATCCAGATCTGCTTGCGAATTGACGCTTAGGTCCGGCATGCCTCCGGTAATTAAGGCGCTGTACTGTGACTGCGGGATTGCTTTTTATGCTAATTCTAGTTGCCTATTTGCGTTCGATGATGGAATATCTACTTCACATATAAATTGTAAGTTTCAATTCACCTTTTTAGCGTTTGTTGCTTATGTTTTTAGCATGAGTGTATATTCTGTCATATTTGAAAGCTACTATTTCATTATAGTAAAAACGCTTTTTCACAGCATTAGCGTATTTTGTACTAATTATTCTATGTTCTTTTATTGTATCAATATACTAACATGAAAGGATACTTTATTTGTGTCAGGAAAACTAGCTGGCCCACATATAGCTCCATATACAATGAGCAAACACGCTGCAAAGGCTTTTAGTGAGTGTCTAGCTCTAGAAATGGGGACTTGGGGAATTAAAGTGATTTCTGTTGAACCAGAATTTTTTAGGTAAGAAGTTTTGATTGTGAACTCAAAAAAAGAGAAACATTAAAACTTATTTTAATTAGTACTAGCCATGTCACTGTTTAATTAAAGAAACTGAAAAGTAATTTTCGATCTGGACATTGCTTGTTTATATGAATTTAAAATTTTGTTTTTTAATGGATAAGCTGTGTATGCTAATCGAGTAATTCAGTAATGACAGCAGCTCTGTATGTTAGATAGTTCAAAATACAACATTTAAAAACAAAATTACTCGAGTAAACGACAAATAGAACTAGTTTTCATTACTTAAGTTTGTATCCAGACTTATCTTGAGTTTGCCTAATGTTTAAATTATTCGATGAAAAATTTTCCCTTTTGCCTAATAGAAATCCGTTTATGTATTTCAAAAAAGTAATAGTTGCTACTGTTAAGTGTTAAATCATTAGAAATAAAAGCATTCGCTCTAAAGTGGGCTGAAAAAAATCCTTTTTATGCTTTCTACCGCTATACCCTGGAAAAGTTGCCTATCGCTTAGCTATGCATAATGCATAAAAGAGTCTTTATGTAAAAATATATCTTCCTTTCGTGCATCACTTCCAAAGTTTTAAAAAATAGCTCAATTTTGCAGAATTGTCAGTTTCTTATAATTATTAAATTCGCTACTAAGGAAATGCAGTTATTCCTAACTTGAATTTTGGGGTATGAGGACCGAGAAAAGATGATTAAAACCTCTATTTTCAAATTATTTATTGGTTACGCATTAAACTAAAAAAGAAAACAATTTTTTTTGTAAAAATAATAGTAAGGATTTAATTAATGATAATTTTACTTTTCCGTTTTCAGTAAACAAGCGTTGAACATATTTATCATTTTAAATTATTTTATTCAAAATAGTGCACCTTAAAGTTAGCTTTTTGGGAAAATGCTAGCATTATCAAAATCGTAAAAACAACCTTGTATTTAGCGTAGGTATAATGAAACACTCAATCGATTTCGAGGGCAGCTAAAGGTCCCTCCTCATCAGGAGAAAGAAATACCTAGAAAGAAAATAAAGGAGAATAGCCCAACTTTGCAGAATTTTAGGGACCTTTAGCTGCCCTCGAAATCGATTGAGTGTTTCATTATACCTACGCTAAATACAAGGTTGTTTTTACGATTTTGATTGTCACATTAGCGTGTTTCTCTTCTAGCCTGCTAGCATTATATTGACAGGAGGGTCATCCTAATCACGTCGTCTATTAACCAGCACCACACATCATCTTAGACGCTAGGATTCCAAGTTTAACACAAGCCTAGGTTTACAAGGAATGCTACGGAAATTAGTTGGCGCGATTAGTCTTTAACATATTTCTGATATCATTATTCGTAATGTTCCTTAATAATGGAGAAGGAGAGATATTGCAACTATCCCAGCAAATGTTGGAAACATAGTCTGTCTCTTGCAAGTTGAGTTTTGACCTTGTGAAGTTATCGATTAGTCTTTCCCTTGGAATCATCAATCAATAGTTTGTAGAGTTTCTCACACTTATTTATACTAAAGTAAATGTCGAAAAACCTGGTGAACTGTTAAGCGAATTACTGCTTAGTTCAAATAACAGAAATCGTAAATTGAACAAGGGTTAACTCCCCTTTATTTCACTCAAAATAAGATGAACGGTCGGCCCCCTTTCTTCGGGCTTACAACAAATCCTCCACTTGGGCTTAAACTCAAAAATAAGAAATAAGAACTAACTATCACTAAATACGAGACTTAGCCGAAGCTAACAGAAAACTAACGTAGTTGGTCCTTAAATTTAAAATCTATCAAAAGGTACGTAACATACGGTCGAGCGTAACAGCTTCCCGAAAGACTTAGCCCGAAGGCAAACATGCGCTGCTCAGAATTCCTAGCTCTCTCTCTCTCTCACTTGAAGTAAGCTAAACCTTCCTTTAATAAGACTTCTTACTCATTTGCATTCAACTCGTTTCTAAATACCCATTCTTGTAAGTTGAAACGAGAAAAGATAGGAAAGCACAATTAAATTTAAATAACTGTTATAAAATTAAAATATATCTTACAAGTGATCCTTGCTCAGTACTATTCTGTTGATTTGAGGAATGCAGAATTCAGTACGTTCAAAGCGAGAAAATAGAAGTATTTCACAGCCAGCCAGTTTTTCTCGATCGGTCCACCGAAAGATTTTGGCCCCGTAGTAACACCATCAGGTTGATGAAAAAGTCACGGAACTGCAGTTCATTGAAATGTAGGATCCATGTAGCCCACTGCTGTTGTCTACTAGCGTATAAATCTATCTGGTGGATAAAATTATTTTTCAAAATAGTATTAAGAATTGCTCCTTATCATATCAAGTTCTTCAATAGAAGTCCCACATACAGTCAAACGGGGAATGATGGTAAAGGCTGTATCTTTATCAAGTCCTCTTGTAGAGGGAGAAACTTGACCGGATGCAGCTCTTTGAAAGAACAATGATGTTTTTTTTTCAGTTCTTTGAAAATAATTTGAAATAATTTTTTTTAAATTAATGCCGTATCGTCTTCTCTGCTATCACAATACAGACCACAGACATATGTTTCTTTAATAGATTAATTCTGCAGATCATTTCTGCTATTACGAGTTTTTCCTCTTCTTATTTTGCCTCTGCCAATGATGTGAGAGTTGTTTGAATCAGTTATTACACACATGGTTACATAATATTTAAAATTACACAGCAAAATATTTGATAATTCTAGTCACCACTATAACATGGTTTGTAATAAAAATTATGAAAATGTTGCTGCCTTTACAAAAAACACTTTTTGAGCATTTGAGTTCAGCCTGAGATCGGAGATATTTCCGGATTAGCATTCTCTTTAGATGCGCTTTGCATTGCGTTGTGTTTAACGTATGAAACATAACTACTATTTGTATTTTGTGAAACTGTAAACACCTGTACGAGTATTTCTGTGGAAAATTCCATAACTTTGAAGTCTTTCTGTTGATAAAATAATTTTTCTAACCTATCGTTGGAACTGTGCGCATCTGGTCTATTACAAACCCATATACGTACGCAACAAAATCATAAAACTGTTATAAAAACAATGTATTAAAGTATTGACTCTTGCAAATGTCTCTCAAATCGTTTATTGAACAAAGCATTTTCTTTCATTATTTGATATTTCTCAGTTTAACCTGAATTATTATGTGCAAAAATAGTTTAAAATAAACCCATATCAGAAATTTTACAAAATATTTTCACTTAGAGTATTTTTGTTGCTTCTGTAGCAGATTATTGGATAAAATATATCTTCGTATATTTCAGAACTGCTATGACGAACAGTAAAGCGATTAGAGCGCATCTTAAAAGAACATTCCAAGATTTGAATCCACACCTTAAAAAAGAATACGGTGACGATTATTTAGATACTGTAAGGAAACGCGTGGAGTCTGTTTTTGAGAATTCGTCACCAAAGATGGACATTGTTCTAGATGATTTGGAATCAGCAGTAAGTCTTAAGAATCCTTACAGCGCATATATATGCTATGGGAACATTATTCATGCAATTAGTTTATATGCAGCTGAACGTTTACCTAAATCTATTACAGATTTCTTGGTTGAAATGTATTTAACTATAGCACATGGGAGCCTTAGGCGACCTCATAGTTTAAAAAAATTTCTTTGATAGTTAAAAATATTTTTGTACATTTATCAGGATTTTCCGCACACAGGAATGTATATCAAGGCATGTACGTGTATGTTTGAATAAAATGATATTTAAATATGGTCTTTAGTATTAAATTTTAGTTACGTTGTGTTGATAATTTTGCGCTGCCAGAAAACATGAACTGGAAAAGTATGATAGGTAAAGTACGTTGAAACGTAGAGTAAAAGAGAACACTTCCAAATGGATTTCTACCCAAATATAACGCAGAAAATATTTATTTATAAATGCATTTGTTCTCGGAATTAATATTATTAAACTCTTTTATCTATGACATTTTCAAAAGTGTAAAGAGAAGTTTAAGGATGTTTAAAGAAATGTAACATATTTAATTTCTCAGTACAATTTATAGAAACTTATTGAGATATTTTTTATCAAGTGAAATTATAAAGCTGCGCCACTTTTCTACATTTTGTTTTAAAACATCCTTAGTTTATTATTTTGTAACGTTGCGTGCCTCCAACTTGCACGCAACCAAGAGGTGACTGTGAAAACTGTATAAAACACAGAGTCTTGTGAAGGGTTTAAGTCCCTTTTTATTCAACGTAAAAAGTACAATGGCGTGCTCTTGACGCTCACAGACTGTGCCAACTCGGCAGTCAAATAAAAATAATAACCTGAAAAGAAACTAAAGACAAGACTCTAACTACGAGGCTCTCTAAATAAACTAACTCACCGCGTTTCCCAATACCGCTGCTAATTCAGCAGACTTGAAGCTCACTTGAACGATTAACACTACTTCCCGCCAAGCACATAGGCCGGCACGCGGGGTTCTTCAATTTCTCGCTAACTACCTCCGCGCTCGTGAAGTAAGAATATCACACCGAACTCGTTTCCTTCTATTTAAATCAGAATACTTCCGCTGATAATTTGAATCCTTGCGCGTTCTAATAAAATTTACATATTCTGGCATTGGCAGTTCCAGGGGAAAGTAAGGCTTGACAGGAAAGATAGTTTAAACTTAAAATAAATGTTAGTTAAAATAAATATAAACCCTACATTTGCCGCTGCCAGAAATTGGAAAACTTGGAAGCAGGTCCTACAAACGACCTGTTGTAAGTTTCTCTAATTCTGAACTAACTGGCGAGAACCTCGTTTACACACACAAAAAAAAAAAATCTTATGTAACAAATTGTATCTAAAATTTTGTTGATCGTTATAAAGCTCTCTTCTTACAGCAACTTTTCCTGGACTTCATCAATCAATCTTGGTGTTTCCTTCCAGCATCTGGAAGGAATAAGTATCAGTATCTTTCTACATACATTATAATTTACACTTTCTTGACACAATAAGTTTTTGTTTTTAAACGATTCGCTTTTCTTAGTTATTGCTTAATTCACATTCATTCAATTTTTCAAGCATTAATTTAACTTTACCCTGGCTCTCCACCGTGTGTGGTGTCAAACGGGAATATTCGTGTTTTAGTCTTACAACACTTCCCCTAACCACCATGATTTGTTAGAATTCAACAAGCAAATAGACACACCTTACTCGACATTCTACAACTCAATGAGCTACTTTAATATTCTTAAAAATTCAAATGTAGGTGGAGAACCCTACAAAACACATTCATTCTAACTTCCCCCTCATTCATCTTTAAACATGCAGGCTTTCGCTCTAGAAGCATGACTTTACAGTTTAATACTTAAATTTGACTTCATTGCTTTTAAGCATTCACTTTTAGCATCTACAATTTATGCTTCTAGACTAAATTCTACTTTTACATAACATTCAACTTTCAGTATTTACGTACATTTACAAGAATTTTAATACATATGATTTTTACAATTTACCATAAAATGAATAAGAGAAAATAAATTTTTACTTTACTCATTCTTCGCCAAGCTGGCGGCACTGAAAGTAAAATTCTTATTAATACAAGAATACGAAGTTATTTTTATCTTCGGCCAAATTTTGGCTTTAACATAACAGAATTAGTCTTTCGACCAACAGAAAATGCTTGTTTTTAGCTTTTACACTTGAAGAAAATAATACTTTTGCCTTAGCTAAATGAAGTAAAACAAAACTAATTCTCAACCGAGACATATTGACTTACGTCAAAACATAGAACTTCGTACTTACATTCGGAATTACATAACATTTCGGAACAAAAGAGAAAAAAAATTTATAGAAGGTTTTAACTTATCTTTGAGTTTTCGATGCTTGAAACTCCGTCATCCGTTTTTGGCAAAATTGATCCCAAGTTAGAGGTTTAATGGATGTCAATCTTCTCCTTATTGATCTCCGAGTGTCGTCCACGTTGCTTTTTCTTTTGCGTCCTCTACATGCTGGCCTCTTGACGGAGTAATCGTCTGGTTGTTGGCCTTTCCGTTTCTGCCTGGGACGGCTGGTCTTGACGTCCTCCGGTCTGGAGTCCTTCTTGAATTTCTTCTGTTCCTCGTATTTTGTGCCTCCTCTTGCCGTTTTCAGTTTCCGGAACGGCGGCCTTGCTGGCACCTGTACTCTGTGGCCGTGTGCGCGTTCTCCTTGATTGTAATTTCTCCTGCTATCCTTTGTAGGTGGTGTTTTCTCTTTACCACGGTTTCTTTAATACCCGGTGCATCTGTATTTTTGTTTTTCTTAAACGCCGGAGTTTGAAAATTATTTTTTCTTTTTGATACCGACGTCCGGGTTGTAGAAGTGCTAGGTCTCTCTTCAGTTCTCTGTTTTCTTGGGTGGTGGATAGTTTTGTTGTCTCTGGACCTTCTATTTCGTTTAGACTTGAGTCCTGCAAGAAACTTTTAAGGATTTCAAAATCATTTGGGTTATAGTATTTTTTCACCTGGTCGGGACTTGCTTTACAGATTTCCCCTCTCTCGTTCTTAAGATATAATACTACCCCTTTGATTTCCTGAATTACATAGGGGCCTTCAAACTTTGGAGCTGGCTTTGCCGTAAAATTGTCTGGGGCACTTGATAAAGAAAATTTCCGCTTCAATACTTTATCCCCAACTTTAAAATCTGCTTCACGGCGTGTTCTATCGTAATATAGTTTCTGCCTATTTCTTGCATATCCGAGGTTTTAAAGCGCCTGATCAATCAACTTTTTTGCACATCTTTTTGTTTAAACTCCAGCTCTCTTTGTTGCACAAAGAATAATTTATCTAAAAGGCGTAATTAATTTTCGACCTAAGAATAATTCTGCTGGAGTTTTTTTCCCGTAGTATCATGATGTGCCGTTCTTAAAGCATAAGCTAATTCATTTTATGTAGCCATCCCAGCGCTTGTGATGTGTGCTCACGTAACTGGCGAATTATTTTTACTATGTTTTTATTAACTCTTTCTGCTATGTTAGCCTGTGGTCTATACGGAACCATTTTGATATGGCGTATGCCAAGTCCATTGCATATGTTTTCAAATATTTGACTAATGAATTGTTTTCCGTTATCGCTAATGACTTTTATCGGTGCACCGTATTTTAAAATGTATTTGTGTAAGAATGCATCTGCGACTGTTTTGGCTGACGCGCGTTTAAGTGGAACAATTTCTGTCCATTTTGAAAAATGATCTACTATTACTAAAAGAAAACGATTTTTATTTAACTCGCTTTGGGGGAAGGGACCAAGAAGATCTATGCCTAAAATTTCATTCGGAAATGTAGCGCGAATGCTATTTAAGTACCCGGCCGGCTGTAATTAATATCATTTATTAACTGACATTGATTGCAGGACCTGACATACGCCGTTACTATTTTGTATAATTGCGGGAAATATACCGCCTCGCGTACCCCTTTTTAAAGTCTTTCTGACCCCTAAATGACCCGCTGTTTCGCGTCGTGTAATTCTCTTTCAAAATGCTTAATCGAAGCAGAGGCTGGGATGGCTGGTTTGTACTCAAGATTTTCGTTTGTTGTTTTCGTATAAAATAATAAATTATCTGTTATTTCATAGTTTTTTGCTCTATTTCTTATCGCATCGATATCTGTGTGCTCAAAGCTTTTGGGGTCTTTCAAATAAGCATAGATATTTCCAAATTCAGGATCAGCTTTCAGTTCAGTAATAACCGTATCTCTAGAATCTAAAATTTTTGAAGTCAACACAGCGCATTTAAGTTCATTTCCTTCATCGTCCAGTTTTATACGAGAAAGTGCGTCAGCTACATTGTTTTCCTTACCCGGTTTATATTTATTGTGATATTATATTCTTGGAGTTTTAAAGCCCATCTTATTAACCTGGGCGTTAGATTTTTCCCCCCGAGTAAAGTCTACCAACAGCCGCATGATCCGAAAAGACTGTTACTGGCGATTTGCCGAAATAAACTCGAAATTTGTGTACAGCCATTAATACGGCTAATGTTTCTCTTTCTGTAGCTGTATAATTCCTTTGTGTATGATTCAATGTTTTACTAAAAAATGCCAGGATGGTTATTTTGCATAAGAACGCAACCCCGCATAGTCTGACGCATCTGCCCGCAATTTCCAGGTTTTCGTCCCCCTCAGGGAATTTAAAACAGGGGCATTAATAAGCGCTTCTTTTAATCTTTCAAATGCTGTGTTAGCTTCCGCTGTCCACATAAATTTACTCTTTTTTCTTTTGATTACTAAGAAGGTTCAACAATATTAGCGAAATCTTTTATGAAAGATCGATAGTAAGAACATAACCAAGGAAAGAAGAAAGTTTCTTCTTGCGGTGTTGGCGTGGGAAATTCTTAATACTTTTATTTTGAATCTTGCGTTTCTATACCCTTTGCGAAATTTTATAACCAAGATATTTAAGTCTTAGTTGCGAACTTGCATTTTGAGGCGTTAATTGTAAACCGGCTCTTTTAATAATTTAAAAACTTGTTCTAGATCATTCTATGTGTTCCAACGTACTACTCGTTATAATTATATCAATCTAGATAAATTAAAAGTTGATTTTAGGCACAGGCTTTAGAACAATGTCCATAGCTCTCTGGAATGTTGATGGGGCCCCACACAACCCAAAGGGCATGCGTAAAAATGCATAAGTGCCCGATTTTGTTTATAAACGCGGTTTTATGTATGAATCTTCGGGTCTCATAGCTATTTGATAGTAGCCAGACGTTAAGTCCAAAGTAGAATATATCTTGTCGATTTGATCTGTC